GGGATGTCCTAGTGACGGCTTAGACCAGCCATGGGCAAACTACGGCCCGCGGGCCAGATCCGGCCCATTTGAAATGAATAAAACTAAAAAAAAGAGACCGTACCCATTTATGTAATGATGTTTACTTTGAATTTATATTAGTTCACACAAACACTCCATCCATGCTTTTGTTCCGGCCCTCCGGTCCAGTTTAAGAACCCATTGTGGCCCTCGAGTCATAAAGTTTGCCCACTCCTGGCTTAGACCCACTCCCTGCTCCCACTGGGGAGTGGGCCTAAGCCGCGCAGTCTGGCCTCCCTTTGTGGGAGGCGACCAGGCTGATCAGGGAAGGCACCAGCTCCATGACCCCGCTGCTGCAGCCACTGCCAGTCACCACAGCCAGCAAGGTTTTTGTCATCAACACAGACTCCAGTCCCTTCATCATGAAAAAATGACAACTTTCTTTAGGCATTTTCAAGATATGTCTTTCATAGGATATGACATTTCTTTATTATATTTTATCCTCACCTGAGGATATGTTTCCATTGATTTTTAGAGAATGTGGAAGAGAAAGGGAAAGACAGAGAGAAACATCAAAGTGAGAGGAACACTTTGATTGGTAGCCTCCTGCATGAGTGCTGACCTGGGCCCCAGCCAGGGAAAAGCCTGCAACCTAGGTACATGCCCTTGGTCAGAATTGAACCCAGACCCTGTGGTAGGCAGGCCGAGGCATTATCTACTGAGCCAAACCGGCTAGGATAGGATATGACATTTCTTAGCCCCTCCAGCAGCAGACCTTCGTTTTTTTCTCCAGGAGTGAGGTGGAAAAACCCTACATCACCTTCTTGGATTCTTATTACCCAAGTTACTAAGACTATTACCAGTGGCATACAGGGAGCTTAGCCAATGAGCGGTCAGAAAAGGTGTTTCCTCTGTAGTTCACATGGATCGCCGGCTCAGCCCCTCGCCCAGGTCTGACGCCTCTGGCCGAGGCTTTAGGCTTGGGAAAGGGCCCCCTGCAGCTCCGATGGCTGGCTCTGCCCCTGCCCAGGAGCTCCCTGGCTCAGGCCCTTCCTATGCTGCTCAGGGCCCACATGGGGCCTCCCTTGGAGTGACCTGGGTGCCGATGATGTTCCCGGGACACAGGCCGCTGGGCGCCTATGTATGCAAATCAACTGCCATCTTTGTTGGGTTAATTTGCATACTCTCCTGATTGGCTGGTGAGCATAGTGGAGGGATGGTCAATTTACATGTTTGTCTATTATTAGGTAAGATTGTGACATAAAGAAGATCAGAGGTTAAATGGGGAGGGCTGTGGGGTGAGAGGACAGAGAGCAAAAGGAATAAAAAAATGTTCAGGGTGAGGGGACAATTTTCTATCCTGATGTGGTGGTGGTTATACAACTGTATACAATTACAAAAATTCATGAAATCGTACCTTTAAAATTGGTGAATTTTATTGTATGTAAATAAAACTTTCATAAACAGAAAAAAATATTTTTTTTTCATTAAAAAGCAAATGTGAAGATCTAGAAAGATCTGGATATTTCTAGACACATTAATCTTTTAAATTCTATAAAAGAGGCAAGATTTTAGCAGACTAAAAACAATCTTTACCAACAAAAACTTCTGATACCTTGAAAACATTTCCAGCTAACATAAACTAACATGAGGAGACTTTGTGATAAGCTATGCTATTATTTATAAATAACGTGTATACTCCAAATAACATGTATTTATTTTACCACAGTCCTTTCTTATATATTATTATCAAGATAGAAGAGAAATATCAACACAATCAGCCCCAAAGAGAAAGAAACATTAGACACATTTTTAAAAAATCAGTTTAAAGAGATTAGTTCAAGGCTTTCCATCTCGGTAGGAAAACAATGTGAAGACCCCTGGGGAAATGCTCTATGCTGCAATTTACATGATCATCTACCAGTAACCATCTAAAACTTAAAAAGGATGGCTGTTTTCTTGACAACCTCTTCTCTATCTTTATTTCTTTTTCCTTTGACCAAGAGCACTACTGAACTAGCTAAATATATTTTAAATTATCCTTTAAACTTTCTCAAAGCCATTCTTTACTTTCTTTTTCTTATATACGACAATGAGAGAAACACTGTTGAGTTTGTTGAAGGTAAGGTTTGAGCTGCATCTTTAATCCATTAGAAGGAGGACTAGTTAAATATCTTGATGAACTTAGGAGAGAAAGTATAGCTAAAAGTAGAGGCTGCCAATGGGACAAAGTTTTCTTGGATATTGGTTGGCCCACAAAATTCATAGGGAAAGCTGCAGAAAGCTTTCATTGACATGTGTCTTTCAGCACCTCTGCGTGCTTTTAAAATTTCTTCATATCCAGGATCTCTCTCCAGATTCCTATCTCCACTGATGATCAACAGGGCGTCATCTCACTGGTATAGCAAAGGGAAGATCTAAGAACAGCTTTGTACATAAGTGTCTTGAAGTTGAAGCAGACATGGATGAGAGCCTTGAAAATTGCACTGTAGCCCTAACCGGTTTGGCTCAGTGGATAGAGCATCTGCCTGAGGACTCAAGGGTCCCAGGTTCGATTCCGGTCAAGGGCATGTACCTTGGTTGCAGGCACATCCCCAGTGGGGAGTGTGCAGGAGGCAGCTGATAGCTGTTTCTCTCTCATCAATGTTTCTAACTCCTATCCCTCTCCCTTCCTCTCTGTAAAAAAATCAATAAAATATATTTAAAAAAAAGAAAAGAAAAGAAAATTGCACTGGACCAGGATGAGAGCACCTGGCCTTTGGTCCTGGCTCTATCACCTATCAGTTGTGCAACCTGATCTTTAAAATGGGAAGACCCAGTTCTCTACCTCTGTAGAGATGGGAGTCAAGAACCTAGGAAGGCAGCACACCTTGAAAGCATCCTGACAATCACATAGTATCACAGTGTTTTATAAAACAGAGATTATTTTGATAAGATTGAATTTTGAAACGCAACAATTATGTATAGAATTTAGACAAAATGCCAGACATTGTGCTAGGCACTAGGGATTATAAGAAATAATGTCTAACTGCTAAACTAGAGGACAGGGCTGACTCAGAAAAAACTTCAGAGTCGGGACTTAAATGAATATAATTTTTTTTCTTGGAAAAGAAGGGACTTAATGATGAAAGAAGGAATAGAGTTGAAAGAAACTGCATGTGGCTATGCAAAGCTATCTCTTAGAGCACAGACACTAAATCTAGGGAATCTGCATTTGAATCCTGTCTCCACTACTTATCATCTTATATTCTTGGCAAATTACTAAAGTTCTCTGTGCCCCAGTTTCTTCATCTATAAAATGGGGATAGCAGTCCCTACATCATCAGCCTTTTGTGAGAAATAATTAAGATAATATTTGTAAAGTGCTTAGAAAAGAGCTATCTTAGTCTGCTTCTTCTAGGTTATATTGTATAACAAATTATCCCAAATTTCAGTAGCTTAGCACAAAGATTTATTTCTTGCTCATCTTACATGTTGACCACAGCCCTGCTGCATGTGTCTTCTTCACTCTGGGATCTGGGCTTCTATCTGGCACAAGGTTTTCTCATGGCAAAGGGAACAGAAGAATGGTGGAACCATGCAATGCCTCTTGAAACATCTGCTTAGAAAGCGTTCATTCCTGCTGCCATTTTTGTGTCTAATTTAAGTCATGGAGTAAAGCTTGATACTAATGGGGCATGCAGAAGACCTGTATGGAGGGACTCAGGAGAGGGGGGCATCAAATATTTTGAACAAAGAGTATTTGAAAAAATAACATAATCCATTACAAATGCCTGGTATGTAGTGTGTTTGTTAAAGAAAGTGGTTGCACAATGGCACAGAATCCTGATATAGGACAAGATGTTTGGGAACAGTAAAACATTCAGGGTCACTAAATCATATGTATGGTACACAGAGGTGAGAGAGGTACCTGAAGAGGCCACATTTAGAAAGAATTTGAAAGGAGGCTAGGTTTTTGACTACAGGTTAAAGATGTGTTGTAGTAATAAAAGTGTTTATGGCTATATTTTATAGGGCACTTCTGTGCCAGTTTTATCAAGACATTGGTGTAACTTCATTTGTTTTCATTAAACATTTAAAAATCAAAGTCTACTAGTCACTCCCTTCCTTTGTAATCCCTGTCTAATAAAACATTCCTTGTCAGCCCTGGATTGGGTTGCAATTGCCTTGATAAGGCAGAGGACAGGTTTCTCTCAGTAGGCCAGGCTACCTGAGTTCAGGATAAGGGAAGGGGACTTGGAGAAGAAGGAAAGGCGGGGGATAGACAGAAAGTATGAGTGAATCGATGTTAGGGAGGAGGTACAATGTACTGATAAGCACTTGATTCAGTGTTGGCTTTATATATACTATTTTAGTTATAAGAAGGTGAAAGTAATCTCTAAATATGAATGTCTTCTAATAGCTTCACAAGCTCAACCAACCTCACAGCTCTAAACAGCCTTGACTTCCTTCTGCAGCGTTTGTCCTCATTTTCAATGAACTGCTAGAAATAATCTCAATCCTTAAAATTCAACTGAAACCCCTGGGCATCAGATGTGTTATCTGACCTTCTACACTGTATCCTTCTTTTGGTCAACCTGGAGAAGAAATGTAAGGGAAGAAAGGATAAGTAACAGAAGAAAAGGAAGCATGAAGAGAAGAGAAAGACATGAAAAGCAAGGGAAGGCACAGAGGACCTAACATCCCATTCTCATTCACCAAGGGAGCTCCAAAACTTACTCCAAAGTAGTTCAGATTTCCACAGATTATGCTAGTCCTTAATGTGATACCTTGACTTGGAAAGCCAATCAACATAAGGTTCTGTTCGGTGCTTTTTCTTTTACAGACACCACAGGACAATGTTTTATTTTGTTGTCTGTAAAACTACTGTGGCGGGGGGGGGGGGGGGGGGGCGCGGGGGAGGGGGGAGTAGAGACAAAAGCAAATCATAGCCTACAAATGAGCCATTCTGACTCCTTTAAAATTGCTCATTTTCCCCTTCTCCTTCTCTGATTACAAACCTTAGTAAGACTTCTATAATCCTGCACCGTCACAAAGTTTTTTGTTTGTAAAGCTTGAAAGATCCCCACTACCTACAGAAAAAAATACAAATTCAGACCACATTCAAAGTCCTCTAGGTAATCTGGTATCAATCTATGTTTCTAATTTTATTTGGTAGGACAGATTTTTTTTCACACTAAGGGTGCTTAATCACAAGAAATAAAAGTCTAAAATATTGTACAAAACAGGTACAAACACAAGAAACGGGCAGAATGTAAAGGGATATACTGAAAGGGAGAAGCCTGGAGTCTGAGAAATATAGGCCTGTTTGTTAATTCACTCAAATATCTTGAAAGAAAATCGAATGATGAGAAATATGTGAATTGTAAGAAAAGAAAATCTGCAGAAGCAGGCCCTTTCTGTTTTAATCATGCCAAAATCAGCTCAGACTTCAGTTTTTGAGAATTAGGGTACATCCCAGTGGCAATGACTCACTATTATGATTCATAAAAATGGTAGAAAATGAAGAAGTGCAGACATAGTGCAGACAAAGTCTCACTGCAGAACCACAAACAGAACTTATTTATAAAATTCAATAAGTAAGAAATATTTTCTCAAAGGAAAAAATATTAATGTGTAACAAGATTAGTGACAATAAAATATATATAAAAGAGCACCTATATTTTTGAAGGTCTCTCACCAAAGACATTAAGAACAGTTAACATCATGGTGAGAATATGAGGGAAATAGGTGTATACTAACGTTTTTAAATTTCTTGCTTAAATGGAAATATTTCACTTGGCTGCTACAGCCAAGCTTTCCAATCACAATTTTGCAACGTTTCATGAAAACAGTAGTATTTTAAATATTAAATGTTGGTATTAAAAACCAGAATTGCCAATGAGTGCAACATAAAAACAATGTAACATAAAAACATGTTATTAGTGATACATGTGAATAATCTCAAAGTAATCTTTAAGCAAAACTGAATGTCCTTACCTTTCCTATAAAGGAAAGGTAGCAGCTGGAATCTCTGCTGGAGTGACAGCTGTCCTTGGCAAACTAATTTATTACCGCTCCCGGTAAGTTAACCACTATTTTCCCCTCTCAACCCAGGAAAAAATTTTAGTCCTTATTTCTTTCTGTGATACCACTGAAGACAGAGTGTTGGATCACACCTAGTAAAATATGACACTGATGCAATTTATCAACCTCCTCCTCTTTTAATCAGTGGGACATTTTAAAGTTATTTATGATCATTTAAGAATAACTGACACAAGGAGCAAGAAAACATTTATGATCAGAAACATTTATGATCATTTAAGAAACATTTATGATTATTTAAGAGTAACTGACACAAGGAGCAAGAAAAACTAGCCTAACCCAAGTAATCCACCAATAACTAAAGAAAATAAGCTAAATTCAAAGCTGGCAGCTTTCCAGAAAACATAAGTAAAGTTTTTGGTTTCTATGACAGCAGATAACATATGACTTACGTTTTACACAAATGTCTTTTTTTTTTTTTTTAAAAAAAAAAAAAAGCTTTCTCTCAAAAAAACAACACATAATTGCCAGATTGAAATAAAATTACTTCCTTAACACAGACAGTATGTTAAGAGAATTAATGGCTGTAATGCTAAAAGGAGAAATTCCATCAACAGGTTTTCTAACATCCCCCCCAAACACTGAATACCATCTGTGCATTTCTTTTTGGTAGTAAGAATTTTATTTTATTTTTAGTATTTTATTTAGTGTTAAAACCAAAAAAAGGGAAGTCACTTGATATACATGGGGAGAGGAGAAGTCACGTTGAGCAACAGACATCTGGGACAAGCTGTGGCTTTGTGAATCTTAGACTTTGATCCTATAATCATTGGTGTGTAAACCAAATATTCACAAATAATTTTAATATCCTTTATAATTATACTTATCTAAAGTATAGCATATTATATTAAATATTTCATAATAAAATGTATTTTCCTGAAAAAAAGTCAGAAATATTCATTAAGTTCTTAACAAGCACTGATATTATGGTACATCATGAAGAAAAACTGGGTCTGATTTTTTTCACTAATATTAATCATTTGAAATAAACATAGTATCATCTGATTATGGTGGAATAATAATAAACAAGGCTGATATGAAGATTTATCAGATTTGTGTTCATGGTGAGAGGTCAATAACATTGGCTGAATTAATTACTGTAAAAAGTGAAGATTCATTTGGCTCAGAAGTATTTATTAATAGTGGGATTATTTAAATGCTAAATTTATCTGGAAATTACATTCCAAATGCTGTGTAATTCTATTTATTCTTCTGAAACAAAAGGAATTTTATGTTAAAAATTTGTTAAACTTCTGATTCTTAAAAAAATTAAAATAGCACCTTATTACCTGTTAAGCATGTGTACTGAAAAAAAAATCTGTGCCTTCACATGTGTATTTTAGATTTTAAAAAGAATAAGAGAGATGAAAAATGCAACTGCCAATTCTAGAGTATTGAATGTCACAAAATTAAACTATCTGAGGTGTCAGCTAGCTCTTAATTTAAACCAGGAGTCTGAAAACAGAATTAAAGAAAGACAATGAGATGTCTTAAAACTGAATCACATAATGAGTTATTAAAGAAGTATTTGGATAATGAGAACAAATCAATCAATAGTAAATTAACACGATAAAATAGCATACAATATGTTACTTCACAAATTCTTGAATGTTTTAGAAAAATATCCAAAACAGGAGTGAAACCATCACTACGAAGAGAAACAAAATGTATCATGAACGAAATAGTAAATTCTCATGCTGCTTTAATGATGAAAGCAATGAGCTATTTTCACAGGCTAGTTAAGTAGCTGTCAATCAAACTAGTAGTTCAAGTGGAATGACATTAGACTAGGGAGAGCCTGGCAATTGTGCCCATGGACTCATTCTGATGTCAGGCTGTCTCTAAGTCACCACAAGTCTTAAGAATACCAGGTGGCTCAGATGGTTCAAAGACCTCACAGTGGAGTTCAGTGCTGTGGTCCTAAAGCAAATCAGGTATCTGGTATCTTATGGAGAGGGAAGCAAAGTGACTTCAATACCCAGAATTTTACCTGGAAACTGTGGGGAATGAAGGATTAAGTTGTATATGAAAAGAAAAAACACAAAGGAATAATACACAGAGCATAAAGGAAGGAGAGAAGTGAGCAGGCTTAAAATAATGACACATAGCCCAAAATACCATTCATCAGAAAACCAGTTATAGTGATAAAAAATCACTTAAAATGAAAACGTCTATAGTAGACTGCATAGTTATTTCCAAAGGTCTCTTTGATGTCTATATATCAGTATGAATCCATTTTGTAATTTTATTTGATGTTTCCAAGAAAGAAATTAAAACTATATTCCATATAGTTATAAACTTATATTTATATAAATTTGAGGGTTCAAATTTAAGTCATGGATGAAAAGTAAAGTTGAATTTCATGTTCTAGATGTCTCTTTAAATACCTCATAAGTAGAGTTTAAGACAAATGCAGCATGGGGATGGACGAGGTGAAGACATTCTAGCACAAAGAATGAGGACACCACTCCAATCCTCAGGCTCATTCACTTCTCCCTCTCTGGCCGCACACCCCAATGAATCTTTTGTCAGTTCCAATCCACCTGACTTTCCACTTGGCCTTGTTTTTTTCCTTTGCATGACAAAGTCTCTTAACAAAACAAGAAGAATACCTCTTATTATTTTTAGTAAACCCAACTTCTTCATTTTCTTTTTCTGTCATTTCTTTCCTACTATGAGTTCAACTAGTAATGTAATTTTAAAATAACACTGACAATAAACTCAGCTAAAACTTGCATCAAAGTTACTTTGAAAACTAAGAAAAATAGGCTTCCTTCACCTCAATTGTCCATGTAATCAGCCTTTTTTTTTTTTTTTTTTTTTTTTTTTTTTACCACTAAGGAAGTAGCATTGAGACAGAACCCAATATGGTTAAAAAATGTTGGAGAAAACTGAATATGACCAATGATCTAAATATGACATTTTCCCTAAAGTTTATTCAGAAAAGAGAGGGAATAGGGAGGGGAGAGAATCACACTTACAAGTCCACTTATGGCTACAATCCAGATGTAGGAACCAGAGGTGAAAAGCTATAAAAGAAAAAAAAGGCAACTAAAAATTAAATTCAACTGCCAGTCACAGCATATTAATGTTTACATAATTATAATCATAACCATTTATGTTAAGAATTACTTATATATCATAATATAAACAAATAGAAAATTAATAAATATCAATTCCATGATTTAAAAGAAAATAATATATATTAATTTTTCTCTTTTTTAACCAAGACCTCCCCTCGTCATAGCTAAAATGCACTGGTTGAACCTGGACCACTCCCATGCAAAGAAAAATAAGTAAAATTCATGCATATTCTCATTTACAAATGCAGATTAGTTAAGTAAAATACCACATATAAAGGAATTATTAGAATTAACAATATAAAAATATGTAGTCACCATCCAAAGTTTGATGTTAAATGATATGCAATATTAGCTCACATAATTTTCTCATTTTAATTTCTCATCACAGCTACTCTAAATTTAGATGGGAAGATCTCAAGTATATAGGTCCAAGTTCAATGCTACTCTGTGTAACTGTTGATATTCTCATCCCAGTTCCTCCAAGGAACAGCAAGCTAAGTAGTGATATCAAAGTTAATTAATGGCAAAAGTAATTAGAATTAAGCCTCATGAAATCTCTCTCCCTTTGCTTTCTAAATCATTTACATCCAAGTGTTGTGCTCAGGGTTAAAAAAAAAAAGTCATAAGACATTTAAAAGGATTCCTGCAAGAAAGTAAAGATTTGTAATCTAGTGTTTGTTCACATTTAGATCTTTAGATCAGGATTTAGGTACTTCTGCTCAGACAGAAAAAGCAGGATACCCAGGTTCATTGCTGACACTGTGTTGGATGGAAACCTCAAAGTTCTACACATTTATACCAAGATACATGGAAAAAAAAGATACATAGAAAGAAGACAGACACAAAGGTAAACAATGACAAAGCACAAGTCAAAGGCCGCTGACACGCTCTGCACTTGCTAGCTTAAGTAGAAATGAACGTTGGTTGCTGCTTTAAATTTAATCCCTTGATCTAAAATTTAATCCTTTGATCTACCACGAATCATTTTTCAGTTTAAATGACTGGTAGTAACAAGGATGAGAATTATTCTATTTAAAAGAAAATATTTTTCTGTAGCTTTCTTCTAAAAATATAAAGAATAATAAAATAGTTAACACTTTCATAGCACTTCTGTGCCAAGTTGTGATCTTAATGCTTTTCATACATTAAACTTACTGAATCCTCCTAATCACCCTGAGTGGTAAGTTCTATTATTAACTCTATATTACCCATGAGAAAACGGAGAGGTTAAGTAATTTGCTCAAGGTCAAAGAGCTGGTGGGTGGTGGAGCTGTGAGTATATACCCCAGTGGTCTGGCTCAACCGCCCTGTGCTTATGATGGCTCCATTGTACTATGGCTCATACACGAGAAAGATGAATGTATCATTAATTCTGTTAATAAAAAATTATTTCCTTTGGACTCTTCAACCCCTCATTTTATTGCATTTTTAGTCCCAACTGGGTCTCTGCATGTTTTGACAGTGTGTATGTTTTCTGACTCCTTAACTACAGGTTATCACAACTCACTTCATTTCATCCTCCCCATCCCTAGCATACAGCATTACATGACTGCCTCCCAAACCATTTGATATTTAAATAACTCTTCACAAACATTTTTCTTCTTCTGATAATGATTAAAGTCATTCATTCATCAAATGTCTGTGGCTTCAAGAAGCTGTGGTGTGGAAGACAGAAAGGAACAGAAACATGTGCAAAGTTTTAGAGGGGGGTGAGGGAGAGAGGAAATAAGAACTTTGAGAAGAAGGGGTTGATACTCACTTCCAGGGAGAGGTGGGAGTTGATACTGGATAGGCAAGAAGAACCCTGATAACATTCATGTTAAGGACTTTAGAGTTTATCAAAAAGTCACTAAGGCATCTTCACCTCTACTTTCTGATACCAACTTCTACCTCACCAAAACAAAACAAAACAAACAAAAAAACCACAAAATAATTTCAGAACACCAAAGGTGGTAGCTAGAGAGACATAAATTATTAATTAGTAAGAACCAATGGACTTAGTTCTTATCTGTTCAGATTACCCTAAACACTCAATACTATGATCTCTAATCTTTCAAATGACCCGGTAAGCTAGATGTTATCCCCAGTTTACATATGGAAAAATGGGGGCTCAGGAAAGGTGATAGACAAAGCAAATAATTATCAGAGCAAGTAATTAAACCAAGTCACTTTGGCTCCAAAGACTTTACACAATGCTCCATTGAATTTCTACTCCATAATTAATAAAACAATGTTTTTCACCCTCAAAGATGGTCTATAACATTAGAGTTGGAAGGAACTATAGAGTCAACATGAGGCTCAGAAGACTTCTATGACTTGACCCAAGTCACAGGCTAGTGAGTGACACATGAGAATTAGAACTTGGGTTTCCCGCCCCAGGCCCAGGGCTCTCTTCTATCACTGCTTTCTGCCTTCTGATGTAACACTGTAAAAAAGAAAAAAAAAACACCCCAAAACATGTCACAGCAAATCCTAGTAACTGCAGAAATAAGCTATTACATTATATGAATATTAGGAAGGATAGGGAGACTGTAACACTATGCAGGTTGAGAGATGAGGAATAAACACATTTCATGAGAAACGGTTGTAAAAGTGATCAAAAGAACACCCACCCCAGATGAGCCATTGATAACACATGAGAGCAGACTAGAGAAGTTAGAGGAAATGCTAAAGGTTAAAAGGGGAGGGAGGAGGGCATTTTACAGAGACACTACTATCTGGTTTGATATATGTGGGAAAAGGAATGTTATGAGTATTAACAGTGGATCAATAGGTCAAGCTACACATGGTACCACAGAAAATAGCATAATAAAAGTTTTATATCAAAAGCTGTGAGTGCAAGAAAAGTGACAAGTACTAGTATTACAGGTAGAAAACTGAAAATCATAGGTATCAATGGGCCTGGAGCCCAGAAGAGAGTAATCAATATTTTGTGAATATTGGTAATAATAACTTTTTTCAATTTAAGTCAAATAATAAGTACCCTAATGGTCTTCATTTCAAACCATTTAGCAGGTGGTGGCATTGCTGTCATGCCTATGTGACACAGAAGTTGTAAAGCTGACAAAGCAAAGCCCAAAGCTTGGGTTGGTAAAGCATATCTGGTTTCTTCTTCAGAGCTTTATTTGAACACCATATTCAATAAATTAATTTTGACAGTGATTTTCCACTTTTCATCTTTTGACTCTTCTCATTTGTTTCCACTTCATACTATGATTTTGAGAAAATATTTATACGCAACTGTACAATTAAAATATTTTCCACTGATACGAATTACAGTGAAAGCTCTTATCAGATTCTAAAAGCTATGAAAGTATTCTAGTACCTTCTATACCTTGATGTTCTCATTCTGTAACACTTCCTTTGAACATTTGATATAGATCATAAAGCCAAACTTATGGGAAAAAACATTGTTTTCAAGGAGATCAAATGAGAAAAAGGCCAAAAAAAAAAAAAAAGAAAAGAAAAAAAAGAAAAGAAAAAAAAGATCTGGTTAAAGAAATGTGAACATAAAAATGCATACTATACCTGCAGTCCCAATATATAAATCAATGTCTTGTTTGTGATGGACAACGGGCCCAGAATATGTGCCACTTGGACTCTCGGTATGGAGCAGTAAAATGGTACAAACAGAGCAAACACAGGTGCCAGGCTATGCAAACAAATAAAAAAAAATCACTATAGTATAACACTCCATTTAAAAATACCAATGGCTAATATGTATTTGATGTAACACTGATTAATTTTACTTTAGTATGAAAGCATGATCCTAGATACACATACACAATTTGCCTTCTAAATGTGCATCATATCTGAAATAATTTGCACTGTATATAACATTCTTTAAATTTAATCCTTGTCAACTATCCCAGACCTATTGCAAAAAGGTGGTTTAGCATCTACTAATTAATTGTCAGGCATTAATTGTGAGAAAATGTAAAGTTGGTCCTATGATTCTTCCCATGAATTACTTAAAATCTAATGAAAGAAAACCAAAAGCAATACACATGATAACGTGTCGTGGTTAAGTGCAAAAGCTTCATTTCAGACTTTGTCCATATATCACCACAGCACTTGACATCCCTTTCACTCCTGCCCCCTACTTTCCTCATATTCCTTCCTCATTTGTCTTAAACATTGTTTCTTGCTGGTCTCCCTATGCTTCTTCTACCACTCTTATACCCTCTCAAGGCTCCCTTATAGTCTTTTCTTCTTGCTCCAGTCTTTCCTTGTATAATCACAAGCCTCCATGGCTAGAATTAAGAAAATGAAGTGAGTCCCAGACTGTCTGCCTGTCCCCTCACCTGGTTATGAAACTCAATTTGATACCCTCACCTGGACATATTAAAAAATCACAAGCCATGAGACTGAAAAGTCTTTGCTCTAATCCATCTCTTAACATTGTTAACAGTATTTTCTTCCCAAAACACAACTCCAATCATGCCACACACCTATTTAAAACCCTTTCTTTCACAGACCCCCAGTATCCAAAGAGGAAAGTGAAATATTAGCATGAAGTAGCAAAGCCCTCCAATTCCAGTGTAGTTTCCCACAACTGAGTCCTCTCTGTTCCCCTAACCTGGCCCCTCCCTCTCATTCCCAGCCCCCAAAGATGCTCCCTGGGCACACTAGGCCCTTATTCATTAACATGGGTTATTCTTTCAACCTAAATGTCCTTCTCACTTTCTTGTTGAGGACACTCAACTCTTTTCAGCAATTTCTCCAGTTCCTCTTGGTGGTGAGTAGCTCTCTTCTTTGCCCTCAAAGCACCCCAGTTTCACTGTTTCAATAATCACCTGGGCACTCTGTAAGAGGCAGCAGGCCAGGTATAGGAGCTCCATCTATATCTATGAGTAAAAAGCAGTCGCTGACCTCAAGGAATTAGCTCCAGGATAGCAAACTCACATTCTTACAAGGGCTAGGCAGACAACATGAGTGAGTTTGGACACACACTAGCACCCATTCTCCATTAAACACTTGGCTTAATTACTCTGTCAATTTTTTATTTTCCCATTTTTGGGGGTGAGTGGCATCAGTATAAAGAACTATTTCTTTACCATAAGAAAACACAAGAAATATTCTTCTCTTCCACAAAGAAATGTCCTCACTACACTTTTTGTAGAAACACAGGACCCTCTTGGCCTCTTGTACATTAGCTCATCATTGATAGAGATTGGGTTATTTAAAAAAATCATTCACTGTTCTCTCAATTCTAATATTAAAAACAAAACAAAAGCAAATGTATACTGCAAATGTGACTAATGGCAGCAGCATCAACAGGCATACACAACAAATGCTGGGAAAACCCCAAGCAGTAAACACCCAAGTGTCAGACACTGGGTCAGGTCTGGAGACACAAAGATGCATAAGATGCAGCCTCTCGCATTCTTGTGAGGAGGACGGCAGGGATAGGGCAGCAGAGGTATGGAGACGGCACAACGGATCCGTCATGAATGCCTCACTCGTCTGGTCCGCCTTCTAGACTGAGCATACCCCATGGCAGGGAAGGAAATGCATCCCTTGGTCCTCCCAGCATCTGGCACAGTGCTTGACAGAGCATAGGAGCTCATTAAATTAGGGGCAATGAAATTATCCTTATTCTTGAACAGCTGTTTGATACAGACTTGAACTATATAGGTTCTTTAAAAACTACCATTAGATTATTAATTCTGTGAGAAAGCATCATGTTCTATTTAGTGTTGCATACTCCCCTAGTGCCTAATATAGACCCTTATTATTTGTTGGATTAAAATAAATTAACAAAGCAATTTTAATAAGCAGAGACTTATTTAAATTGATGTTCTCAATTCTACACAAAAGAACTGTTTGGTCTCTCCCTCCCTCCCCTCTCTCTTCCCCCCCTCAATTCAAATCATCTGAACCCAAACACAGTTGACTAAGCAGCTATGCATTCTTTTCATTAAAAAGTATAAATTAGCCATTCCTGAGCTTAAAATCCTCCAGTGATTCCCCACCGTTAAGTAAAAGCCAAAGTCAGGCCTGTGTCCCACCTCAAACCTGATCTTCTACTACTTGGTCTCCCTACCACTCACTCTCGCTTATCCAGACACATGGGACCAGGGTGCACCTCACTCAAGCAGGACTAGGCATACGCGTGTGCATGCGCTCTCCTCTTCTCCTGGCCTACTTCACACAGATAAGGACATCACTTACTCCCTTCCACCCTCCATGTCTTCACTCAAATAACACATTCTCAGAAAAGCCCTCCCCAACCCCCCCACTCCAGACTGCAGCCCCTGCAACACCTCACAGCCCCATCCCCACTGGGCATGCTCTATTTCCCTTTCCCCATAGCACCTACAACTGGTTACTCTGCTATGTGACTTGTTTCTCATCTGTCTCGCTGACTAGAATGGAAGCTCCATGAGGGCAGGGATTGCTGTCAGGTTTTTTTGCTGCTTTACCCCCACAATCTAGAACATTGCCTGGCACAAAATAGTTGCTCAATAAACATTCACGAATAAATGAATTCCTCTTTAAAATTGTAAAACCATACAGCAGAATTTGCCTTTTGCTTAAAAAAAAAAACGCCCCTTTCCTTGTTTTATTGTTTTTAATAGGATTAAAATACATGGTTTCATCTATATGCTCAAAACATGGCCTGTTGGTCTCTTGGCAATAATAAGAGAACTCTATTTTGGCTGCATTTGAGATCTCTCACAACAGAACATGTTCTTTAAGTTATATAAATTCTTCTGTTTACATTCAGCAATAAAGTGTAAATAGTGATGTTATAATGAAAAATCTGAAGCAGAGTTCTTGTTTGAAGTTATATTTCAATGTAAACTAAAAAAATATGGATGGGAATTTTAATGACCACAGTTTATATCTTATATACCAATAGAAGTTTTAAAATTCCTTAGAAGTTATTAATCACTGTGTAGTTTTCAATTATGACTAAATACCAGACCACCTACACCCATAATACAAAAGCACACATTTCATACCATGGTCATATAGGTTGTTTTGTAGAAATTTTCCACTGCTATTTCTATACACACAGACTTCACAAAATATCATGCTATTAGTCATTGGCCAGTTTTTCTTTTCCTTATTTTATGACAACATCTGTTCTTTATACTGTCAACAATGAATTCAATTTGACCTTTTTCACGTCGTGAATAGCTAACTTCTGGAAGCCCTATCTGGCTTAAGCATGTGAGGCTAAAGTATAGAAAAGAGGAAAACAGGTTATAAAGAGTCCATTCACTTTTCCATTAATATGTTGTTATCTACTATATACTCACAACCATACTCAACAGAACAAACAGAAACAGTGCAGGTCACAAATGTCTACCTTTCCTCTTATACAGAAAAGGACGTTTATGTATAAGAAAAAGTTGTACTTTTATAGTACAACTAAAAAAATCCTGGTAACTTTCAACAACAATAAAAATAAGGTTTGTGAACTCATGAAATTATCTTACCCTGAAACTCAATAGTATCTTGCAGGACAATTACTCTATCCCCTCTTCTTTATACACTTGACTATTCTAATACCAAAAAAGATGTAGACCCAGTTTTCTAGGTACATTTACCTTACCTAGATGAGTTATTTATTGTATAACAATGTTTTACTTAATAAAAATGCTTTCAAAAATTAAAAACCAACACATCCCACCAGAATGGCCTTTCAACAAATTCAAAAACTTCAAGTATTCTCCAATTCAAAGTTTAAAGGAACTATATTTTATCATATTTATCCATCAAATCATAAAATCTCTTCTTTCCCCTCATTGGATCTTTTTGAACTGGGAATTATCGTGTTGACCATTTTTAGTTCAATGATTTTTATTTCATAAATTGTGGGGTAGAGGCCCAAAGAAGTGTTCTGTTTGACAAGGTTTCTCCACAGTTCTCAGCATTTTAGAGCTAGGAAGAACCTAATATGCTTCTAATTGAATAATACCTCTGAGAGGCTATTTTGACAGACTCTTAAAATAAAAGGGCCTCTGGGGTCACAGAGCCACAAATTCCTACCAAATGATTCAATACTCTACAGACTCTTTCAAAAGAATCATCCAGGTTACGCAAGCATCTAAATAAGAGACAGCCTAATCCATGTTTTTATGATGCTAACTTCTGGGAACTAAACTCATATTTTGATTTGAAAATTATCTCCAGTAGTTTCTTTTTATTGGCTTTCCTTCGCTGGAGCTAGGAAGACTGACATATGCAACCTAAACCCTTTTCTACAATATGTCTTCCAAATGCATGATAACAGCGATCACATCCCTGCTAAGCCTAAACATTCTCAGTCTATTCAATCATTTCTCCTAAGACCTAGGATCCAGACCCCTCAGATCCCACACAAGCTCTAAGTCATCTGTGCCCTTTGTAAAATGCTGACTGGGAATAGCCAGATTGGTCCTGGATAAGTGTAAATATCACCTCTTTTGTTTTGAGCACTATATTTTACTTAATTTAGCTTACAGATAGATAGCCATGTTACACTGTTGATTTAAACAGTCAACTAAAACTAAGGTGAACAGCATAGGTCTCCTTTACCCTTTTCACAAGAGGCTCAATTTTAGCTGCAAAATCCCATCAACTTTTCCCTTGTTATTCCTGTGTCCATGCAGCCACTGATTCAGTCAAGTTAGCCTCCTGCTTAAAAACATTAACTAATCTCTGTATATATATGCAAAAGAGCATCTTTCTTCCACTCACCACAGAAACTTTTCTTTCTTATAAGCTGTTGAGCAAGTTTCCAGGTAGACAAAACTGACAAAGTTGACATTCTTTTCCCCTTAAAACACTTAAAAATACTTTACACAGATTATAGATATAACATCACCAGTAACTATGATTCGTTGATTTTACTGATCAAGGTCTACTGCTTTAGTCTCTCTCACATAATTTTTTAAAATGCATCTTTATAGAAAAATTTATAAAGTTCCACAGATATCAGCAATTCATAAATTCCAAGGGGTTTTTGGATAACTATTAAAAAAAAAATCACTAACAGAAAAATTTCACTTCCCATTTTTTAAAAAAAGTGTACACGCACGCACACATGAGGTTAACTTACTATGCTCAGTCACAGGGTGACAGAAAAAAAAAAGTCACCACCATAAAAGGATGTCTGCATAATCTCTCTCAGAACAACATGCCAAGGTTAACCTACTTCAGTTTGGTCAAATCCTGACGACGACTACACAGGGGCCAGAACAAGTCACCGAGGGGTAAGTGCTACATATTTTGCTTTTGCAACAAAATCTTTTGAGTTAAGAAAAACTTTGAAAGCCTACTTAAGGTACAGGTAAAGGGAAAGAATCTACTCAATAGCAAGCTATAAACATTTCTAGCAAAAATTATGTTATTAATAGAGTTTAAACTCTAGTGACTGGCAGTTCTGACCAGCTAGTATTAAGCTAGGTGAAAGCAATGGATTGTGCCAGAAACAGCTTTGCCAAAAAATAGGCTTACTTTGCATTTCTGTGTGAACTCACAATTACAAAAGAACAGTATCAAGTAAATGTTGGCAAATAATGCCAAAACTTCAGGATGCTTTAATATGAAGGGAAAGGAACAAAGTTATTTTAAGATAAGGTATTCCTAAACTTAAATGTATTGTATATATAAAAGTTATTCAGCACAAAAAGAAGAGTTGTAACATTTTACTATTTGGCCACATATCTACAAACAAAAAGTCTTTTATATACTTGTATTATTTCTTTTGATATAAACTGATGTTTTTGGTTTATAAAAACATTTTATCAATTTACTCTCTGATCAGTTGCAGTCTGGGCTTCACTGTTTCTTAGTATTTCAACTCTAAATATAAACCATTAATCTGATAAGTAAAAGAAAAGAATATCTGTTGTTTGCTTTATATTCATTTGATGATTAGTAAGGTTAAACATGCCTCCATATATTTTTCTAGAACTTGTATGTGCTTAAAAAAACCCACAAAACAAGGAATTATATGCAGTGTTTTGCCAATATTTATGCCAGGTTTGGAATGAAGGTAACAGGAACTTTTGACAAAATATAAACTGTGAGGAAACTTCCTCTAAAGGAGGGTGTGGTTTTGAGTTTTCTTGGGGTGTCGCTCTAAGCATAATACAGTGCAGTGGTTACGAGCCCAGCTTTGGAGGCTGGCTCAAACCTGAGCTGTGTGGCCTTAGGCAAGTCATCTGACATCTCTGGCACTAGTTGCTTCCTTTGTAAAATGTGGAGTAATACCACCGCCAAGTCCTTATAACTCTGGCTCTCATACTAACTGCTAGGAAACTGTCTGCTATCACTATTCTCCCTCCTTCTGCCCATTAAACTGCTAAAGGATGAATCCAACAGGCAAAGTTTCCTTGCCCTATCACTTCTCTGAGAAGGATTTTTTAAACTATTTTCAGGTCTTTATGGAATATTTTACACACAGACTGAGTCTATGTATGGTTATAAATCTAACTGTGCTTACTGTCTGGACTCTGCATTTGCTAGTATTATTTCAGTGCACATTTTCTCTCTGGGGTTTAATTGTCCTTTTGGACACAACACTGCAGAGAGCACACCACTCTACAAAGCATCCTCACATACATGCTCACCTAACAAATGGTGGTGGTAATTTCCTTTAACTGGCTTCCGAGAACTTTTCAGTAATAACATGACCAGTCGTTTAATGGAATAAATATTAACTCGGGTCACTATATGACTTTCACTCAGTTATGTATTCCATAAGCATTTATGATATCTATTATAGGACAGTTCTGAAACACTCTATGTGATGAAAATGTTGTATAAGATAAAGCCATCCTCCTTAAGAAGTTTACACTTTAAAAAAGAGCTGAGCACCCAGTAAAGGAATGTACAAATGATGCTGTTCTTCCTGCTACGGTTAAAGGCCTGCTGGAGCGGTAACAGGCCCTAGGGTGTGGTATGTGCTGAGGATGTGTAGTATCCCCCAGTCTGTTCAGTTTCTTAACCTCCCAAGACGTCTGCAAAATACAGGCTTCAGCACAAGATGAGATAACGCATGTGAAAATCCTGTGAACACTGTAGAGATAACAAAGATCCTTATTGTGTCTTAAAAGCCCAAAGAGAAGAATAAAAACATTTTGTCAAATATCTGCAAATACTTAAAAAGTACTATAAAAATAAATTAATAACATAAAAGCTATCTTGGGTAGCCACCTTTTTCTTTCAACAGAAATTTCAGTCCAGAGGGCTTCGTAGAAATATTGTTAAAAATAGTAAAATCTAAAATCATTTCTAAAGCTTTTAATTTTAAAATATGCTCCAAATTAATGAATTCTTTTATTCCAGGCAACATATTTCCCTCCCCCCGCTTCGCTTCTTGTCTCCCTAGCCCTCCTCTTCTCTCTTGCGTTAAAGTTTTGAGATCTCTTCATAGTTTACTTATTTCTACCAATAACATTAGATCATCCTGGAAATAGGAGCCGGGAAGAAAATGTATGGCACTGAGTGTGATTACTGCAGCCAAACTGCCTGGATTGATTCTAACACTTAACTCTATCTTCACAGAAGTGCACTGTGCCTGTTTCATCCATTCAAACTGATCTGTGAAAGTTTGTGAGGATTTATGTGACTTTATGTAGAGTGCCAGGGCAGTGCCTGCAGTAATCTGTGCTTAACAATACTGGTTACTGTTATTAGTCAAGAGCTTACGTTAATCTAAAGAACCCTTGACGGAGCATCAAGAAAGCTGGGGTTTTGCTATTCTTCTTTTTTAAAAATTGATTTTAGAGAGGAAGGAAGAGGGAGAGAGAGAAACATCAATTGGTTGCCCTCCGCATGAGCCCCGACCAGGGATGGAACCCTCAACTTGGGTATGTGCCCTGACCCTTCAGTGCATGGGATGGCACTCCAACCAACCAAGCTGCACCAGCCAGGGCTAATGCGTATTTATTGAACATCAATTATGGGTCAGCTGGAGAGACACAAAATTAACAATATGGTCTCTACTCATAGGACTTCACTGACCAGTGGGAAACAGAAAAAAAAGAAGCCAAACAACACATGGTATTGCAAAACAGTGCCCTAGCAAGGATACCTGACTCTGCCTTCCTGCGGGTGCTGGGAGTGAGCAGGAGAGAATAAAATCAGAGAAGCTTCCAGGAGCAGCTGATTTTGAAGTAAGTCTTGAAGGAGAGCAGAAACTAAGATTACATGACAAGAGGAGAGGAGGCACCAAGACAGAAGGAAGGACGTCAAAAAGGCACAGAGTTATGCGAGAATACAGGGCATCAAGGAAGTTAGTGTGGCGGGAGCCAAGGCATCAGAAGAGGGACGATGGCCAGAGACGCAGTGGGAGAGGGAAGTGGAGCCCAGTCATGAAGGAAAGTGTGTCACAACAGAGAGCTTTCCGTCTGCCACCTGAAGCACACTGTGGCAACTGCTGCAGTGGCTGCAAACAGGAGTGAGGGCTGCCTGAAGGCCGGCAGAGGTGGTGTGAGTAGTACACACAGGCAGACGACAGACATAAACACGGGTGCAGAGGAGGGTCAGGAGGCTGCAGGCACAGGAAATGCTGGCTGATTGGAGACAGTGGGGGGGGGGGGGGAGACACAAGAGTCCTGGCCACCTCCATGTCCCTGACTTGGCACCTGTACTGAGGGACACTAATTCTGTTTGACTCAGAGGATAAAGATTATACAAACTCAGACCTTCACTATAAAGAGCCGTTTTATATCACACAGCTAGTTATCCTGCACACAGGTCAAATCATGCCTCATGAAAACAGTATTTGTCTTCCTTACACTGAAATGATTATGGTGGGATTCTTGTTTCTTACAGTTCTTAAATGTTATGTCATAGAATTTGAGTCCTGAGAGTTACTACCTCCTTTGTCTTCATCTTTGACAATTTTCATAGCAGCCTAGTCAGTGCTAAAGTTACCAAAAGCCACACAAGGAATAAATAATCAGTGGAAGGTGAAAGGAAAATAGCTGGAACATGTAAAACCCTCGATGTGCAAGTGGGTGTTTAACCAAATAATTTAAGTGTCAGGCACCTTTCACTGTCCCAGCAATTCCAATGTAAACGTTTACAGAAGCTGGAGTTGGTCTTCACTGAGTGTCCACTGAGCTCAGGACACTATAAAGGCAAAAAGAACTGCAGACTGGCGACCACTGGCCTTGAAACAGTTCTCTGTGAATCATCCTGTAGATGGCCCTCTGCAGACCTCAGAACCATACCATGCTGTGGGTGGCAGCTGGGTCATATTTCCACAAGCCAGAAAAAGTGAGCTCCAGGGAGGCAGGGCAGTGAGGTCCCTTCAGACACACTGACCAGGGACAACTCTCGACCATAAACACTCTGGCACGTGTTAGGTTCTTTTTGAGAAAGGACAGGCAGCTGCCAGTGGGTCACCTTTCTGAACAATATTCCCTATTTCCTGCCAAAAAATGCAGCTAGGACACAGTCTTAGCTATTAATGCAGGACTCAGAGCTAGTTAAGAAAAAAAAAAAAATCACCTAATAGCGTAGAAAGATTTATTTTACTCAGTTAACTGGGCTGTGTACTATTAAAGCAGTTGAGTAGCAACGCTATGAATGTCAGTCCAACTTTGCCAAAGAAGTGAGTGCTGAGAGGCAGTGCCTGTGCTGGTCACAGCCTGTCTGTGCCTTGGGTTTCTTCCCCACAATCAGGAGTTGATATTTCCCACCTGCCTATTTCAGTTATTTAACTAAAAAAAAAGATGAAAAAAAAATCATTGGTTGAGTGCTAGACCCCAGTATGTGTGACACTGGACTGAACTCCAACGTCCCTGCTGGCTCAGCTTCAAGTTCAAGGAGGCTTTGTCAAATAATTGGAAAATAGTTAGAAAACTAGGAAAAAAAGCAATGATTTCTTTCTTCCATGAGTTATGTGTGTCTTCAAGGGCACTAGACAGCCTCAGCCTGCTGTCCTGATACATCTGTGCTGCCCTATTTCCTCAGTCGACAGAATCCTTCTTATTCCAGTAACTCTGAGCCTGTGTTGGCCCCCTCCTTTTCTAGGGATCTGATTGTTCCTTACTCCAGAATATTTCCCTCAATCTTATCTCTAAAATAGCCAAAGGACAGTTTATCAACAGAAATTAGAGAAAGAACTGGACCAAACACTATTCTTTAACAATATTCAAATATAATTCATATATATACATGTATGTATATGTATATGTATATGTATATGTATATGTATATGTATATGTATCCACATTTCTGTGGCTCTCATGGTTGTTTTTGAAAGTGTGCTCCTGAACTTCCTCTTTGGTGCATGCCACTGTGGACACTTTGAGTCAGAGCATCTCGATGTGTAAACATTCTTGAGCAGACTTCACCTTATAGAGAAATCACCTCCTATTTATTATCATTTCAGCATGACTTGACCCATTCAATTCATTGCTGAGGCCTGAATATAAACAAAATCACCAGAAGTTTAACCCTTTTCATTTAAGGTGTATGATTACTAAGAGAATAAATACTGGGGGTGATGGTGACTTTTCAAGAATCTTAAAGCAAAAATTAAAGCTGGTATTCTAGCACTTACTAAATCTTTGAATATAGTGAAGGTTTATTCTGTTTCTGCCACAAATAAAAGCTAAGGAAATAATTGCCAAGCAAGTAAATTGAAATTGCATAAGGTTTCTATGTGTGCCCTGAGAAAAATCACAAAAAGGCTCCAAGTTGGTGTCTAGGGTAAATATTTCCAGAATACAGGTTACATTAGAACTTAGACAATTTTCTTAACTATTAATGAATGAGTTGAGGGTGGGTGGGGGGAGGGGCTTTTATTTTTTCCTTTCTGTGGCTAGAAAAAAACTTGCCAGTTCATGTCAACATGTCCGGTTATGCAAAAATGAGATGATAGTGTCTTAAGAAACATTAGCTACTCTATTAGTAATGAACTCAACTCTAGAGAAAAACATAAGCAAAAATACTTTGGAGGATATTTCCCTGTGGAATAACTTGTTGTTTTATGCATGTTCAGATAACAGTAAGTGAAAGGATTAATATTGTATTATAGAGACAATCCTGAGATGGTTTCCTTTGCTTATTAACAAAAGTGGCATAGATTGTTGCCCGAGTACCTGCCAGGTAGTTTAATTTCAGGAGGAAAAGGTGTTCCTCTGGTGGAACCTGAATTAAGGACCCACATCTCATGCAGCCTAGTTACTATCAGTGCCTTCAGGGCAAAGATTGCAGTCCTTATTTATGTCCCCTGGGGTGGGACATTAATGATAGCTTAGGGACCACACATATCTTCTCACTAGAAAGCATTATGAGGAAATTATAATTCTTAAAGTATTCTAAGGAAAAAATACCTAGAACAAACACTTCTTCACGCTTTTCTCTATGCCATAAAATGACAAGTCATAGTATTTTCAAGTACAACTTGGTATATCTATCCTAAATAACATGTCAAAAGCTGTTGCCTAATAATTATGAAAATGTGAAATACTTAAAATATATTCTAAAGTAAATAAATTAGAGAAAGGAAATTAGTTAGTTAATTAGTTATGAATAAAAGAGGAATGGCTAAAAGTGGGATCTGCAATCCAAAGGCTGGTAAAGGAGCACTATAATGAAAAGAGCAAGCAGAACCCTGGTGTGTGTGAGAAGAAACCACAGCAGAGAATATTGAGAAAACACCTCAGTCAGATAATAGCACATTCTGAATATCATACATTCATCTTTCAGTTTTAGGCCCTCGGGTATTAAAAGATATCATATCTGTATTTCCAGGACCTCGCATATAGAGGCACTAAAAACACTTATTGATGAGTTAAAAAATGGAGTAAGTCAAGGTTCAGGGAGGTAATCCTAAATTCTAAGATGATTAAAGAAAAGTATAAAATAATGTCTCTGAGGGAAGATGATAATAAATTGGGAATGACTGATATAAGACTAGGATAACAATAGGCATATACATGAAAGGATTTTTCTGTCAATTTGGAAAAGGTAAAATTAACTAAAACTATAGCATTAATAATATAGATAGATGTAAGCAAGAAGTAAAGTAGTATAATAGAGTTGTTGACTAATGAAATCAACCTTCAACAGGTTAGTAAATATCCAAATAAACGTATTTCAAAACAGCCTAGATCCTTCTTTCCCTAAGAGCATTTCTGAAGCATGACATTTACATGACCAAACTATGCAAGGCCTTTCTTTGATTGACATAGGACTAGGGTGGGTAGTACAAGGCCCCTCCACAGTCTTCCATCACAGTTTATAAGGTGGTGGCCGCAGGTCTGGCTTTCCATTTGGAAAGACACCTCACATGGAAGTGGGAGCCCTGCTGTCCTGAGGAAGAATCATTCCCCTACTCAGGAGAAGCTGGGCCACGTGGTGCCCAGGCTGTTAATTTACAGGTAAAGATAGCATGAAAGCTTAGGCCACTTTGAAGGCACAACCTCTCCGCATTTCCAGGGCAGGATGAATTAGCTGCCCCTGCCAAGGATGGGAAAGAGACTTGAAGCCAAGTCATCAGAGAGAAGGATCCAGCATGACCTTAAACCTCCCTGGCACTCAGTTTCCTCACATGGAAAGTAGGTGGGTGATGGCAACACTCACCCTGCAGGGTTAAGAGAGTTCTTCGAGACATGACTTAAAGGTAGGCACCTAAAAAAACTAATGCACAAAGCTGACTAAAGAGCATTAAAGGGCTAACTTTGAAAAGCGTGTCACAGGACAAGGTTTTCATAAAAAGAGCTGAATTAAAATGTTTTTCCCTCAGATTAAAAAACTATATTTATCTATTTACTTATTTCACAGTCATTTTCAATGATAAAATTTTAGACTACATTAAAAAAAACTTAAAAATTACTTGTACAAAATTATATTTGACATATATATCCATGCAGGGGTGTGTGTGTGTGTGTGTACAGTTGCTTTTCCTCCCCCCAAAGTGGTATGTTATGCAATTTGTTTCCTACTTAACATTATTCCCTGTCAAGAAATAGGCATGTACACTGCTATTTTCAATGGCTGCATAGTATTCCACTATATGGCTATACCATAAAATATTTAACCAACCCCCTAACGGTGGACATTTAACTTGACTGCAGATGCTCACCTTTATAATTAATATGGTGTTAAACATGCTTTGACTTAAAATGTTTTGAAACCCCTGCCATTTCCAGCTCTACTGGATGCTATATTTAATTCAGTATAGAGGGTAAACACACATTTACAACTTGACAAGAAATAGCACAGTCTTCTTTGATTCTTACATTAGTGGTAACTTTCCTAGTCTCTATAATAATAATCACATGGAGAATGATGAGACTCCACAATGTATTTTTCCCTATTGTGTATTTTAAAAAGCAGTTCCCATGAACGTGCTTGGAAATATTTTTCAAAATAACATGTATCTGTTAAGATTTTCAGAAAGCAATTTTTTTTTTTCATAAAAAGTAGAAAAATAAAAGAAGCTCTTGCTGCTGTTCCTAAGATGCAGCCTTTGCCTGGAATTTTCCTTTCTCCCTCGTGTCTAGTCTTAGTTCTTGGAAAGTTACTTCTCACACGAACTGGATAAAGCTTTTTTTTCTACATTTATTCCACAGTTGCAATTCCCATGACTTCCTTTTCAAGAATCACTTCACCTTTTTCTGTACAAAATACAAAGTCCATATTTATTGTTTTTTTTTCTATTTCATTAATTTCTGCAATTATTTTTATTTGTTTTTACCTTCTTTGGGCAAACTCAGTTCCTTTCTAGCTTCTTGAGCTACATATTTAACTAACCTATTTTAACCTTTTTAAAAATAAATATATTCAACGCTTTGCATCCATCTTCAATGAACTCTTTAGCCACATCCCTCAGTTTTGGCATGTAGCATTTTTGTCATTTAGTACTAAGCACTTCAAAATTTGCATTGTAATTTCTTAACCCAGGCATTCCTTAGAAATATATTTTTTAGATTCCAAATTTATCCTTTATCTTTTTATTGTGAATCTGTAATTTAGTTGCACAAGAATCACAGGAAATGTGAGCTGCCAGATGATGCTTTTTCTGGAAGTTCTGAGATCTTTCTGATGACCTTGTAACAGTCATATTTGCAAATAATGGTCATGGGCCTTCAGCACAAATTCTGTTAGCTTTGAAGTCATGTGGGTAAAGCTAAGTCCATGATCTCTTTTTTACCTGGCATATTCTTTTTTTTTTTTGTTTATCCTCACCTGAGGATATTTTTCCATTTATTTATTTATTTGTTTTTTTGAGGGGGGCGGAGGGGGGGAGGGAGAGGGAGAGACACAGAAAGAGAAACAAAGAAACATCAATGTGAGAGACACATGGATTAGTTGCCTCCTGCACGCACCCCAACCAGGGCCGGGGATAGAGCCTAAAACCAAAGTATGTGCCCTTGACTGGAATCGAGGCTGGGACCCTTTAGTCTGAGGGCCAACATTCTATCCACTGAGCCAAACCAGCTAGGGCTTATCTGGCATATTCTAATAAAAATGTGTTAAAATCTCACATTAAGGTTGTGAATTTGCCAATTTCTCCTTTAAATTCTGTCAAATTTTGTTGTTACATGCACAATCATGATTATTTTTACATTCTTTGTAAACTACTCTTTTAAATTTTGTAGTGACCGTCTTTATCCCTATTAATGCTGAATGTGCTTTGGATTCTATGTTTTCTGATGTTAATATTGCTATTCTAGCTTTTCACACTATTTGGTATTTGTTCTGCCAAGCTTTTCTGAATCACTTTGAGTTATATCTCTTCTAAGTAGTACAGACCTGGATTTTTAAAAATCCAAACTGATAGTCTCTGTCTTTCAATGTGTAAGTCCAATCCATTTAAATTTGCTGTGACACATTTCTACCCTCTTATTTTGTGTTTTTTATTGACCATCTTCATTCTATCCTCCACCCCTCACCCCAAATCTCCTTTCCTGTCTTCTGTTGATTCATAAGTTCTACTTCCATTTCTGTTCCCTTTTAAAAAGTTTAGGTTGTATTTCCATATTTTAACAATTAACCTATCAACACTATGTAACGCACACCTGTAACAATAGTGCAATCCTCTGGTAACCTGGTTGTCTGTTAGTATCACTGTTTCAAGATTGTTAAAAATAAGTTAGCAGAGATCCAATTCATTTAATACCACAGTCAGAGAAGCGGATTTGCAGTCAGTGCCTCGATATGGCTAGGGAGAGTCCTTTTCCTTTAACACAGAGAATCATCATCACTTGATACACTGAAAATTCCCCTTAACTTTGGTGACTTTCAGAAGAGATTCATGCACATAGATAGTACTACCAGAAAATTAATTTTCATCTAAAAATAACTTCACAGAACTTACTGCCCAACTCTTCCTTAGTTTTATCACAGCCTAGCCTCATACACAGAGTTTTATTGTAGGAATTTTTTATTCTTCAACTCAGGACTTGAAAGTTCATCCTAACACTATTTATAACAAGAATTGGAAATAATCCAAATGTTCATCAAGGGAATAGCTAAGCAAATTATACTGTAAAATACCCATCAAATATCTACATAAAATTTACACATATGACAGACAAATAGATTATACTTATCCAGGAACATGTTAAATGAATAGAGCAGAACACAAAATACCACAGATGTAATGCTTGCTACTATGTGTGAATGAAAGAATGTATACTACTTGCATCGTATACTACTTGCATCAATGGGGTACCTGAGAAATAATACAGTTTAAAATTAATTTGTCCCTTGAAGCAGCTTAAGTTTTTTCTCTCTCTTTTCCTTTTCTTTTTTTGTCAGTTTTCTCATGTTTGTTGTGGTCATCTTCTTCATCATCTTTTTCTTTCTTTTAAGAAAACCTAACTTTTAGTTCCTAACAAAACCTTGTCTTGTTTCTCATACTTTTTTAGGTTAACACAAATCAGATCACTGTGGTAAGTTCACATTTCACTACATAAATGTGTGACTGATTTCATTTCCTGGCAGTGATATGCACTTGGGGGGTAGGGAGGGAAAGTCCATTAAAAGCAGCGTTTTATGCCCGTCTGAAATGTGGGGTGCTTTACATGAATTTATTCTTAACCAGAAAATGATTCACAAAAAGAAGGGGAAAGTTCTGCCTAAAAACTTAGTGCACTCCCCCTTGTCACAAAAAATAATTTGTCCTATTTAAATGGCTCTAGTTCCTTTCCCAGGACTTTGCCAAAATCACCAAATTGTGATGTAAAAACATGAATCTTATTCTGTTCTTCCTGTTACTATATATGTAACCATATTAGCAATCATAGATTTTTTAAAAGTATATGAATCTTAACATTTTTAAGTTAGATCTAAAAAGGTAGTTTACATTGCTTTGGGTTAAATCTGCTTTTCATTAGACTTGTTTTTTTTTTCTAGAGACCTTGAACACCGCTGATGGATATAAAAATGGACACCAATTTTACTACTGCCTCTACAACTTCTCCAGAAAGTGACTGTGACCTCTACGCACACCACAACACTGCCAGGATAGTAATGCCTCTGCATTACAGCATTGTCTTTGTAATTGGGCTCGTGGGAAACTTGTTGGCCTTGGTTGTCATCATTCAAAACAGGAAGAAAATCAACTCTACCACCCTATATTCAACAAATCTGGTCATTTCTGATATACTTTTCACCACTGCTTTGCCTACACGGATAGCCTACTATGCCCTAGGCTTTGACTGGAGAATCGGCGAGGCCTTGTGTAGGATAACTGCTCTTGTGTTTTACATCAATACATATGCAGGTGTCAATTTCATGACCTGCCTGAGCATTGACAGGTTCTTTGCCGTGGTACACCCTCTGCGATACAACAAGATGAAAAGAATTGAACATGCAAAATGCATTTGCATATTTGTCTGGATTCTAGTATTTGCTCAAACACTCCCACTACTCATAAAATCTATGTCAAAGCAGGAGAGTGAAAGGACAACATGCATGGAATACCCAAACTTTGAAGAAACAAAATCTCTTCCCTGGATTCTGCTTGGTGCATGTTTCATAGGATATGTGCTTCCGCTCATAATTATTCTCATTTGCTATTCTCAAATCTGTTGCAAACTCTTTAAAACTGCCAAGCAAAACCCACTAGCTGAGAAGTCTGGTATAAACAAAAAGGCTCTCAACACAATAATTTTTATAATTGTTGTGTTTATTCTCTGTTTCACACCTTACCATGTAGCAATTATTCAGCACATGATTAAGAAGCTTCGTTTTCCTGATCTCCTGGAATGTAGCCAAAGACAGTCATTCCAGATTTCTCTGCACTTTACTGTATGCCTGATGAACTTTAATTGCTGCATGGACCCTTTTATATATTTCTTTGCATGTAAAGGGTACAAAAGAAAGGTTATGAAGATGCTGAAACGTCAAGTCAGTGTATCAATTTCCAGTGCTGTGAAGTCAGCCCCTGAAGAAAATTCACGTGAAATGACAGAAACTCAAATTATGATACATTCCAAGTCTTTAAATGAAAAATAAAAGGGAATTTAATCTTGGATTTATAGCAAAGTAAACTGTATGACAAACTTTGCATTAGTTTTTTTATAAAGCAAAATGATTATTCAACATCCAATTAGGATTCTTCCAAATTCCTTTATTTGAGCACTATTTCCCACCTCCAACTTGGAAGTAAACTCAAGTTTTTTACACTCAAGAGAATGACATAAAGCTAAGATCTAATTTGTAAATGGAATGTGATACCAAAAGGAAGGCTATTTTAATAACTCTCAGTATAAAAGAGAAAGTTTTGTGTAAATGAAAATTTTAATCATTAACATTTCCTGCCAACAATTTGGCAAAAGAAAAAAGACTGTTAAGATTGTATATTGCCAGTGTAAAAATGTTAATATTGTAATATATTTCTTTTTTAATAACGTATTTTTTCAATCCATGTTTTGTTTTATTCTAAGACTTTATTTCCTCAATAATACAGCTTTTTGTTTTGTTCTGAGTCATAAAATTTTACTTCAAAGAACTCTTTTGGAATAAAGAACAGGATTCTACAAAATTATGAGTATGCTCTTCAGTGGTCACTGTCAACTAACAGCAAGAGTTACAAGAACACTATAATTTAGCAGTAGATGGATTTGGAAAGCAACATTATAGTGCATGATGATACTGACAGAGGCAATGAAAAGTATTGAGCTTGTCCTCCACACAGCCCGATAGTGTTTAAGGGCCACTGCTCAGGAATGTGACAAGGGGTCTATGTGGAGGTACTCACTGGGAAGAGGGTCCACTTGCTAAATTCTTCTGGGAATAAAAAATATACAAATATACTTGGTTTTTCTTGGGTCTCTAGGGGATCATTTCTCTTTTTTATTCATAGATACCCTGTGCCTTTCAGTGGTCTGGGTTATCAGAAAGGGCAGGAAGGATGAGCAGCAGGTGGTGGTAGAGTTGCTGCTTGCCTACAAAAGATAGGGAGTAAAATGCAAAATTATAAATGCAGACTTCCCAGGATTCTTTGCAAGGTTATATATTTGCTCAAGTGAGTGGCTTAGTATGAGTAGCATGACCTTTGCAAGTACAGTCACGCTGTCTGCCAGCTCAAATTTGTTTCACTCAATCCTGAAATACTGCAACACAATATCTGTGTTAGCAATGACATCAATTGTGGTAATGGAACACAAAGAAATTAAATGCTGTATTATGAGTCATACTTTAAATTTTTATTAGGTTTTATATCCTGAAAATAGTTCAAGTTCTTATCTTACTCATTTTCAATTTTTAACCTGTAAGAAAATTAATCTTAATGGTTGATTCAACACCACTTGCTGAGTGCTTTCAGATTTGTATTGCATTAACTTCACAAAGAGCTGCCTGACCTTATAGCCACTGACAAAAACAGACACTGATCTTTGAAACACTTTATGGCAGCGGTTCTCAACCTGTGGGTCGCGACCCCTTTGGGGGTCGAACGACCCTTTCACCGGGGTCGTCTAAGACCATCAGAAAACACATATATAATTACATATTGTTTTTGTGATTAATCACTATGCTTTAATTATGTTCAATTTGTAACAATGAAATTGGGGGTCATCACAACATGAGGAACTGTATTAAAGGGTCGCGGCATTAGGAAGGTTGAGAACCACTGCTTTATGGAGACAGGTGAGACCACATGGATGGAAGTCAGAACCTTAGGGCCTTTCCTTCATCTGTAAACTTTCCCAAGTGAAAGAAAAGAAAGAGCAACACATTAAATTTTTATGCATGCTGTCATCTGAGTTGGGTCCCCAAAGAAAAACATAGTGAAAGCTGCTAAAGGAAAACCAGAAATAAAGCTTCCTTAATTCCAGAGTATCTTTATGGTATACCAGTTCTATGGCTACATTTGAGCATACACTATTGTATATATGAACCAACAAGCTGCTTCATAGAAAATGAGAGTCCTCTCAGTGCTAATGGGTTCAATTCTTAAGATCCTTGAAACATAAAAGTAAATACCTATGTCACTTGATAAAGGAATTATGTATTCTTTTATCTGTTTAGTTTTCTTCCTTCTCTCTCCACTATACCACAGATCTATATAAATAACTTTATCCAATCACCAGTAGCCATATTACCAAAATGGTAAATTGTAACATATCTCCAGCTAATCTCATTTTTAAGTCTATGCTCGTGACATGCAGCTATTCGCTCTCCTTCAAAAGGCCCATACTGCCTATTTCATTCATGAAGCCACTGTTCACACATGGCCATGGGGCACCTTCCCATTGTCTTGTATAATAGGTAGGCTTTACATTTATTTCCTGTGCATTTCCCTCACAAACAGGTAAGCTAGGAAAACAGGAACCGTGCTGTATAATTTTTGTATTCTGTTACAGAACAAAGGAGGTGGCCTTATTTGAAAATCACACCACCATAAGTATTTTCTATATGAATCAGGTGATATATTATTAACAACTTTAAAAATAATAAGTAGTTAGAAAAACTTATCTAGGCAAGCTGATAGTTATATGGCAGTTAACCATATTTACCTCTTTCATAATTGTATGTTTATTTCTAAAAGACTCATTTGGTTAATTTTTTTTAAAAAAACTTCAAAACTATTTAGTTTAAATCAGTTTAATGCACTGATGCTTCAGAGGTAGCACAGAATAGTACAGATAGTATAGGATAGTACAGATAGTAAATGTTAGATATCAGAAATGATATCAGGTATATATGAAGAGCTCAGTAATTTACAAAATAGTCCATACATTATGTAATGTCTTCCTTTACATAATCCTGTGAAACAGGATGAGTAGATAGCATCGGCCACACTTTATAAATAATCCTAAGAAAAGGCACCTGGTAAATTAGAGGCAGCATAAGGAATATAACCCTAACTCCCGAAAGAATGCAGAACCGAATCACATAGACCAAAAAAGTATTAGAAGGTTTGTTTTATTATATACCAGTAGATAATCTATCCTTAAATAGGGCAAATAACCAACAGTAAGTAGATTATAAACTCAGCTAGGCTGTAGGTTTGTGAGGATGACGATGTCGTCTGTTACATACACAGCATGACACAAAACCTGGCATACAGAAGGTTCTCAAATATCCATCTAATCAGACAGCACCTGTTTTGCACTATTACTAACAATATTCTAAAGTCCTACTGAAATATTTGAAGTTCTTCATGTCTCAATGAAGTGAAAAGAAACTCTATAAATGCTTAATTACATGTTAGAGCATATGTTATCTTCTAAGACCCTGCAATTTAAACTAGACCTATTAAAAGATAGAGTTAACTGCCCAACAAGTAGATACAGAAATATGTTCTGCTTGGAAATAATTTTATATTTCAAGAAGCAAAAGGTAGTGACGTATACCAATCAGTAAAAAGAATCAGACAATTTTAAAAGGGGAAGCACCAATCTTAAATTAGCCCTTAAAATGGTCTATTTTGGCCACTTTTACGCCCATTGTAATTTGTTATTCTTTGCAAAAGCTAAAAACATTTGCTCACTGACTATTCAGGTAAGAGTGAAAAGATGAAAGGCTGACCTGTGACAACAGGCCCATTCTTCTGACTCCTGGGAGGACTAAATGCGCTCGGAGAACTGCTGCCAATGGAAGTCTGTTTTACATTCAACTCTGAAAAACTGATCACTTTAAAGATAATCCCCAAATTTCTTTTCAACTAAAATTTCAATTAGCCAAGAAGGAACAATTATTATCCATTTACTACATGCCACTTTTTGGAACACTTGACAGGTATTATCTCATTTAATCCTCACCACTTTAAGAGATGGGTACAATTATCTCCATTTTGCTGATGAAGAAACTAGAGTGCCAGGCCACATGGAGAGGTGGAGCCAAGAATTAAATCCAAGCCATTTGACCCAGTGCCTGTAGCCTGACTTGGAAAAGGAGGGTGTCACCACATCTAGAAACATGTCCATTAAGAGGTGGCTGTATTCCTCTACTTGCTGTGGCCTCCTGTGCCTAGACATTTCCCATCACCACACTGGAACTTCAGTTCATCTTCTTTCCCCACGGGGACCCCCTCAATTCTCTGCAAACTCAAGCTTCTTTCTCTCAGTCACCCAAACCTGACCATCCTTCTCTCATCCATAGTATTTAGCCAGTGAATCTTGCTTGGGTTTTCTCCTTTTGCACTCTCTCTTGCCCATCTTTTTATTTGCCCAATATCATCATCCTAGTCCAGACGCTGGCATCACAGACATATTACTACAACTTCTTTCCCACTGGCCCCCTCAACTAGAATCAGAAATGTTTGCCTTCCTATCAGAGGCTATACTGGAAGCAAGCAGATTAATGATAATAACAATAATAAATACTTGCTAACAATTACATGGTACAGTGCTCTAACACGTGTGTGTGTATGTGTGTGTGTGTGTGTGTGTGCATGCGTGTGTGTTTCTCACTCAAGCCTCACAACTCACAATAATTCTGTGAGGCTCTTACCATTACCATTTGTTTTATAGATGAGAAAATCATTCCCCAGCAAAGTTAGAGCATATCCCAAGGTCATGCAGCTAGTAAGTGAGAGAGCCAGACTCTAGATTCTGGCAATTCCAGGGTCTACACTCTTAGTCATTATATTATCTCTTAAACAAGTAGAATTTATACCCAGATCCTCTGAGAGCCTTGGAAGAGACATTGCTTACTGAATACCCTCAGGTTCACTTGAGGGGCATGTGTGACTACTTTTGGCCAGTGGGTGGGAGCAAAAGTAGCATGCCACTTTTAGGCTGAAACATTAGAGAGCAGTGAGGAATATTCTATCCTGCTCTTCTCTCCTGCCACAGTGACCAGATATGTTCTAGGACCTTTGTTAGTATAGGTCCTTGAATGAGTAAATGTTGAATTCCCCATGCCTGCATCCCATCCACCTTAGTTAAGTGGTACAAAAAATAAATACACTTATGCAGCAATTTTCGACCAGTGCGCTGCAAGAATTATTTAATTTTATTTATTTTTTCCTTTTATTGAATTTATTAGAGTGACACTGGCTAACAAAATTATACAGGTTTCAGGTGCACAATCCTACAACACATCATCTGTATACTGTAGTGTGTGTTCATCATCCCAAGTCTCCATCCAACACCTTCCCCAACTCCCCACCCTCTGGCAATCACCACTGTTGTCCACGTGCATGAATTTTTCTTGTTTTTTCTTTTTTGCTCAGTATCTTCACCCCCTTACCCAGCACCACCCGCCCTCACCCCTGACAGTTGTCAGCCTGCTCTCTACTCTGTCTCTATCTAAGCCTGTCTCTATTTTGCTTGTTAGATCATTTTATTCATTCGATTCTACATATGAGTGAAATTATATGGTACTTGTCATCCTCGGAATGGCTTATTTCACTTAGCATAATGCTCTCCAGGTCATCCATGCTGTTGCAAAAGGTAACATTTTCCTTCCTTCCTTCCTTCCTTCCTTCCTTCCTTCCTTCCTTCCTTCCTTCCTTCCTTCCTTCCTTCCTCCCTCCCTCCCTCCCTCCCTCCCTCTCTCTCTCTCTTTACTTTCTTTCTTTCTTCCTTCCTTCCT